CCCGAAGCCGATAGAAGTTAGACAACAGTGCAAAAAAAAGGGGAATAAATTGGGAGCGTGCAACCCCCTCGTTAGCGAAAGATGCACCAAGGCATTTCGAGAGTAGCTAGAAGGAGAATTGCCCGAGTGGCAATAGAGGGCTGTGCCGTTTCTTGACTTTGATTTATGGACAGCTGAAAGGCGCGTGCAATTCCACCGCACTCTCCGGCTAATCCGTTACGCTGACCCCCCCGGGCCCCCCTCCCCCTCCCCCCTGCGCCCTCCCACATGCCCCTTTCTCCTCCTGTCTCCCTCTTCTACATTTCCACGATTCAACAAGTGCTCCACGCGTTGGCTATTATCGGTTGTAAACGCCCTGGCGCTTACCAGGCCTTTAACCATGTTGCCCTCGGAAAATGTAAATGTCCCCCCCCCCCTGTACTATCGCAGCAATTAAATTTTAAGTAATTGTCGGGTGAGCGCTGAGGGTTAATGAGGGATAATGTCGGGCGATAAAGAGTGGAGGGAGTGTGGGAATTGAGATGTGGGCGAATGCGATTTTTCAGATTTGTTTGTTGGATTATGCATTTTGCGAGGAGTTTCGTATCGAGAAACTTCAATGCCTTGGAAGTTGAGCGGCAAGGCGGCAGGTGGTACTTGTGGTGGCACCTCGTGGAGTCGTCGGGGACTCTCTCAACGCCAGGGGCTCTCATTGGGATGCCCCAACTTTCGAATTTACAGATGCAATCATCCTACTTTCTCCGGTGGGAAGTTCTGGGCGATTGAGATCCTTACGACTGAATATTTTCCGGTAATTGGGGATTTAGTTGAACAGTAATATGGTGGTGGAAAAAATGTAATTTCGGGGACTGTTGAGTAGGAATTTTTAGGACAGTAAATTTATTTCCCAGGGGAAATAAATCATGGAATTTTGAGGTTTCAATGAGAATTCAGTAAAATTCCAGAATTTTGGACGGAATAGAGACGAGTACTCTTTAATTTATTTGAGTGTACAGTATAATGGGAATATTCAGTGCCAAATTACATTGAATTTTCAGTGAAATCTGAAATTTCATGATTTTTTCGCCCTAAATCGCATTCAGTATTATTATCCTGAAAATTTAAGAATATATTTACCGGAATTTTCTGGTTTTCTATTAATTTTCAGGGAAAAATGGAACTGAAATTCACTGTTCTCTTTTATTTTTCCACGAAATTCCGAATTTTTAATTACGAAATTCCCTGAAATTTCAGTGGTAATTAAATTCTCTTTATTTGAATTTTCAGTGAAATCTGAATTTTCATAATTTTTTTCCCCCTAAATCGCATTCAGTATTACTGTCCTGGAAATTTAAGAATTTATTTACCGGAATTTTCTGGTTTTCTATTAATTTTTAGGGAAAAATGGAACTGAAATTCACAGTTCTCTTTGATTTTTCCACGAAATTCTAAATTTTTAATTACGAAATTCCCTGAAATTTCAGTGGTAATTAAATTCTCCTTAATTTATTTTAAATTTCATAATTTTTTCCCCCTAAATCGCATTCAGTATTACTGTCCTGAAAATTCAAGAATATATTTACCGGAATTTTCTGGTTTTCAATTCATTTTCATGGAAAAATTGAACTGAAATTCACAGTTCATTGATTTTTCCACGAAATTCTGAATTTTTAATGACGAAATTGCTTCAAATTTCATTGATAATTAAATTCGATAAAAATTTCCAAAACTTGTACCGGGAATTTCAGGCAACAATTTTTAACAGTGAATTGCGGATAACATCTGCGCAAAATTCAGAGAATTTCTTGATATCAAATTGGTGAATTACATAATTATTACATGAGTTATCACATGAGTTAGTACATGAGCATCTTAAGCGAGAGAAACCTTATCGGGATTACACAATCGTAAACCGAGTATCATTTACATGATCTTCAGGAGGTCCGCCACTTTCCTCTAGTGATGCCGCGAGACATTTCATGAAACATCACGAGACAAAACTTTGGAGAGCAAAGATTTCCATGTCCATTGAGACCGAGATCATCTCTCCAAAGTTTTGTCTCGTAAATGTCTCGAGGCATCACTACTTTTCTCGTAAAATTCAATATTTTTCTCAAATCTGACAATAAGCACGGAAAAAAAACTTGAATCAAGTATATTTTATACTCGAATCAAGAATAATATTCTTGAATCAAGCATATAATATACTTGTTTCAAGTATATTTCCGATTTCTCTAAAATATATATTCAAGTATATAAAATATACTTGATTCAAGTACACTTTATTATACTCGAATCAAGTATATTGTGGGGAAATTTTTCCGGGGTGTCATGAGAGGCCTTTGTCTCGGGACTGGAACAAAGACGATCTTATGCGGGGGACCACCAGCGCCATAAAATAAACATTCAAAGTACTGGATACCTCGACGACGCAGGCCAGGATTTTTCGTCTAAACAAATGACGAATACAGCGTTGACGATGAGGGATACGGCGTTGAAGATCTCCACTGGGAAGTGGAGATCGAGTCAGTTTTTGCCCAGCAACGAGGGCGAGAGCACATCGAACTAACTTTATTGATTATTCCTTGAGATCATTAATTTATGTTTGCATTCCACATTACTGTTATTNCGCCATAAAATAAACATTCAAAGTACTGGATACCTCGGCGACGCAGGCCAGGATTTTTCGTCTAAACAAATGACGAATACAGCGTTGACGATGAGGGATACGGCGTTGAAGATCTCCACTGGGAAGTGGAGATCGAGTCAGTTTTTGCCCAGCAACGAGGGCGAGAGCACATCGAACTAACTTTATTGATTATTCCTTGAGATCATTAATTTATGTTTGCATTCCACATTACTGTTATTATCAAGCAGTTTTGTAATATACGACGGANCGCCATAAAATAAACATTCAAAGTACTGGATACCTCGGCGACGCAGGCCAGGATTTTTCGTCTAAACAAATGACGAATACAGCGTTGACGATGAGGGATACGGCGTTGAAGATCTCCACTGGGAAGTGGAGATCGAGTCAGTTTTTGCCCAGCAACGAGGGCGAGAGCACATCGAACTAACTTTATTGATTATTCCTTGAGATCATTAATTTATGTTTGCATTCCACATTACTGTTATTGTCAAGCAGTTTTGTAATATACGACGGATTATTTTATAGTGAAAAGGATTATTTTAGTGAACTTATTCTAATACTCCCACACACCTAAAATTCAAGTATATTTTATACTCAATTCAAGTATTTTTTTTTTCCGTGAGGGATTTATTTTTCAAGGTTTTTCCAGAGACATAGAAAAGGAGTCGGGGGGGTTGGGGGGTCCTTACCCAAGGGTGTGGGTGGCGAATGGCTGATGTACCCGCATAGGCTCC